CGTGCTCTATTGGGTTTAAGTCGGGCGAGCCGGCAGGCCAGTCTAATCGTGTGATATCGTATTCTTGAAGAGCAGCATTGACTCGTTGAGCTCGATGTGCGGGCGCAATATCATCGACCAGTACAAATTGGTGCCCATGGTTTACTCGGAATGGTCTGACGATATCATCAATAGCAACAGCTTTGTACATGTCTGCTGTCATGAAGCCCCGATACGGGATCAAAGGCGTTCTAGCTCCAATCATAATGCCACCCCAAAAGGACACCGATTTTTCGCCTTGCTGAACTGTTCCAGTGGCAGTTCTTTGTCTTTCACGGTCGCCTGGTCTTCTCCAGACACGGACACGTCGGTTATCTGGATGAGTGCTGATTCGGGATTCGTCAACGAAGAGACAGTTTTGCCAAATGTTTTCGTCCTCACCTTCTTCATTTTGCCGAAGTCTAGCCCACTGCAATCTTCGTTGTTGACGTTGCCGGGAATTGAGCGGAGCTCGCCAAGACCTCCGTGCTCGTAATCCAGCCTGGTGCAAGCAATTGCGAACGGTCTGCGTGCTAACTTCAAGCCCAGAGGCGGCCCTGACTTCTGCTTTTATTTTAGTGGCGTTGATTGTTGGATCACGGGCTGCCAGCAATCTAATATAGCGCTTTTGGGCAGCTGTCAAAACAGTTGGGCGACCGCTGCGGGGTCGGTCAGCTAAATTCTCCATTCCGTGATACCTCTGCAACGTAGCCACGACACAGGATTGGGATATAGCAAGTCTGCGTGCTATTACTCTCGTGGTGTATCCTTCTTCCCTCAAAGTTACTATTCTAGCTCGTAAAACCTCTGATAATCCTCTTGGCATTTTTTCAATCACAACTTTCCGCGAAAAATATCTTGAATCGCTTATAATTGACTAAATCAGATTTCTGAATGAGCGTAAGCTAGGACTGAAAGCCGTTTTATATGAAAAAACAATTGAACGGGGTCATTGTTTTATGTTCTAATTTATTTTTAAATAAAGAATCTAAAAAGAAGAAAAAATCATAATATAATCTACAGTAACAAAAAAGATTTCAGTTTTTCGAAGTGATCGCAAACTTTTTTTGATGTGTGTATCTATATTTTGGCAGCTAAACTTCCAAAGCAATTCCTAATTGACATATTAAAATGGTAAATAATTTTATCTATCTCTGAAAAACAAAACAATTTGATTTGATCTCAATTCTAATATCAGTCGAGATGAAGTTTTATTGGAAATGCAAGTGTCAATAGCAAGCAATTTTGACAAATTTCACATGTCATTTGACATAGAACGATTTTATAAAAAATGGAATTACATAAAAACTACTGACATGCGTGAGAAAAGTTTTTGTTTGCCGCCATTTCGCCCGTAACATGCGGTTCCACACATCATAGAGAGCTTATAATATGTGTATGGATAAAGCAGTGTATGTAACTGTACATAATTAGGCATTAAAACACTCGTGTGATGTTTTTATGAAACTCGCCTGTCGGCTCGTATAAACCCACACTCGTAATTTAATGCCTTTCATTATGTAATAGTCACATAAACTACTCTAATATGTTATAAAGAAGTAAAAAATATGACTTATTTTATTTTACTTTTTTTGTCAAATTATTAAATGGTTAAATTTATTGAAACGTGTAAAAAAGTAAAATGTGTAAAGTTTCTTAATGGAATAGAAATCTCCTTGCCACGACATTAGCTTGCATTTAAACAGAAGATTATTATTTGTAATTTTTATATCCTAGGCATAAAGTAACCTGTCTAGGCTCGCTAGGAGTAGTACGTACAGGTACAACATGGCACAACGATACTATTCTAATTATTTGATCTTATTACAATAAAACATGATTCCGAATGCAAGTGTTAGTATGTTAAGATGTTTGCATCTCATTAACGATGATACAAATTCCTTGGATAAATGGTTTATGATTTGTATTAGATAATAAAGTATAAAAAGGAAAAAGTGTCGCCAGAATTATTTTTGTTTCTCAGAAACGGTTTGCAGAGACATTTTTATCCTATAACGTTATTGCAATACATTCTCTAACTTTGACACTTAATTTTCCAACAAAACTACAGAAGCTATTTATTCGTAGTACGTGAGTATTTCTAGAAACCAAATAGCAAATTTGTGAAACTTGTTGCATACGTGAATGCACAATGGTTCACCTTAGAGGTTTAGAAAATTAGTACGTCTAGTACAAAGATATTAAATCGCTTTTATATTTTTCAATTACCTTTATGGTCATGCAAACAGTCGACTGCACTCTTTTTGATTTTAGATAGTCTTTAAGAAGTGAAATATAGTTGAATCTTGAACGTATATTTCCAGTTGTGCCCAGAAATTTAATGACCAGAGAAAAGGGAGGTAAATGTGGCATCGTCCTAGAGGGTCTAGGAAACATATCAGAGCAAAGAGACTTGAAGAGAGCTACACCGAGAAGAGCGTTGCTCTTGAATACAAAAGAAGAAAGCCCGATTAACAGTCAGCTGCAACCAGGAGTCTGTAGTTAGAGTTGCTGTTATCAGAGTCCAAGATATCTTCAAATCTAAGTTACAATTGTAGCAGAAAGCAACTAACACCTAAATTTTGAACTTAGAAGCAGTATATTACTATTGAAATTTAGGTACTGTATACGCCAATTCACATAACAACCGTGTCAATTTCCCTTGTTAAAAATTACTAAAAATGCTTAGTGAGTACATGTCCACGTTAAGGATGGGGCAACCTCCGTGTTGCCCCATCATCCCCCCATGCCCATGCCAATGCCATGCCAAGCCCCACGTCAAAGTTGGTCTATTGCGAAATATTTATCAGTCATTTGAGCCCACAGGAACAAAATTATTAAATGAACCGGGCATTGAACAAACAAATAAATAAAACACCATAACGTGCTACTAGAAAGAATAAAAGAAGTTGTTAACTATTTCTTTGACTCTCGACAAAGGCGGTACTAAATTGAAAAGTTTTCATCTCCTCGATCGTTAGAGATAAAACCGACTGCAATCTATTGCCGCAGACAATATGGGCTGGGCACAAATGCGCATAATTCATTGACGACCACGCCCTACTGTACCACGGGTCAGCATTGTGTATTGACCCACTACTATTTATTATAGTCTCAATTAATATAATGGTAAGACTCATCATGAGTAGATCTTTATATCAAACAAAATGTATATATAATACTGTCATTGTTGATCAAAGGGTCTTATATAAAACTTTTATAAGATGAGTTTGAGAAATGTTGGTTGGGAACTTTATCCTTCCGAGTTCCAAAAGCTTTTGGAATTTCCTTTCCAAAGCAGTTTTCGCATATAGAAGATGCCAGTATCAATTCAGGCATATTCCATATAGCATATATTGTTAATTAATTTATCAAAACTTCATAACTAAAAATAAAACATAAAAACATGTTTCAAAACCAGTAACGTTGCCTTCAGTCAATGACCCGTTAGCTTTGTCATAGTCTAGTTCCTTTCTTTTATTTTTATCCGGTGCATGTGAGAAAATCATTAAGTCTGCTATACTGGACACAAAAATTCATGGAGTGCATACCTGCCAAAAGGTTTAGAAAAATAGTTTTTAAATTATAAATAATTGAACCGCAGAACTGGGGGCCTACCATAACCTTTCCAAAAACAATCATATTTCAATGTAAGCATAAAGTAAGCTTATTGTAATATTAGTCATATTCGTACCATGACAAACCTGTCAACCAAGCAATGTATTATTGCTAAAGTGACTGAAAGAACGAATGATTTCCCTATATTGTCTATTCCTTACTAAAAGTAGGAAAGAAATAACGCTACATGAATTGCATAATGCCATCTCTTTCTTTTTTGATGTTCTGAATCGTGTTATCGTATCGTAAGTAGTAATGTTAAAGTACTTAATATTATTTATATTCAGAGAATTTAAAAAAATAAAAGTATGTAATAATGAAATCTATTAAAATTACGTTGTATTCAATTATTATTCCGCATTTTCATGAAGAAAAATAAATAAAACTATATTTATATAGTCTAGTGTCAACTGTTAGTTTCGCCAAGGAGCATATAGAAGGCGCTGTCATAATTTTACGAAATAAACGTCGCGTATTTTTATTTTACGAGAAATTATTTCCTGTCTGCTATTAAATAAAAAATAAACAAAATATTGAAGAGATATATATAAATAAATAAGTTCAACTTAACTTTTAATTATTACAAATCAATATTAGGACAATAAAACTAAAAATAATATTGTTTCCATTGCATCCGTGCAACTATTTTAAGATTGCTAAATTTGACATAAGAGCAATATTACTTTAATGTCAAAGTCGCGCCATAGTACGAACTGAGTGAATGAATAGTTACAAAGCTGCCAATAAAACATTTTAACATTACAAGTAAGCTTACTTTAAGCGCGTTATGGTACGAAAAGTCAATGTAGCGTTAGAGTAATATTGTTTTAAGAAGTTGTGGTAGGCCCTCTGGTCCTTGCGGTAGTCTCTAATATATTTGGTATTGTAGTTTTTGAACAACTTAGTTACTACCGGTTAATTGAATTAGGGATTTTCGTATAAAATTTACTGCACTAGGTTTCCAGCAAGGAGTAACATCACCTCATATCTTTTCATGAATAACGACTAAGGGTTGTAACCAATGTAAGCAAATGTCTACTGGAGTAGAATACAAATGCTGCGGTCGCTTATTGCCGTCGACTAGAGTTAGCTACATATTTTAATTATGGCTCTTTCTTCTTTTGCGGAGGAGTGCATTTTTGATGTTGTATTGATTGGTTAACATTATTAAAATAAAGACTACTCTACAGCTTTCTCTGTACGAAACTTCTTTAAACCTTGAAGCTGTATTGAAGTCGCAAACCCGTTGGACTAGTTTGTTTCTGTGCACTTTTATAATCTATGTGCATTTGCAACAGACTTTCGTTCAAGTGTAGACGACACAAATCAGTGACAAAAGAAATTTTAATCTAAAATAACTGACCGGTATTTTTTGTCACATTTAGATTATTTTATGACTTATTTATTGTAAAAACTCTGTGTTTAAAACAACTGTGTATTTAAAGTTTGGTTCATAGTGTCTAATAATTCATAAACAAAATGACTGTTTATAGTATTGAGCAGGTAAGTGTATTACTTCCGGTCGTCAATCTTACAGAGCCAAAAAACAAATGGGTTTAACAATAGCGTTTTACAAGTTGTAACTTAGGGAGCCGAGACGTGGACACTAGAGTCAGGTTTTATCACAAAAGTTAAGTCAGGGAGAGGGTTCAGTAAATAGTAGTAAGAGCGAACTATGCTCGGAGTTTCTCTGAAGGATGAATTTTAATGAAGTCAAAGAACTCAAACAACAGACTTTATGTCAATCAAAATAAATAATTTATTTCTTTGTGATACACAGGTCATATAGGCGTACAAGAATGAATTTTGAATCACTGTGATCTGCCTTGCGGCATATAAGGTCTTCATGGTTTTTATGTAATTTTCATGCAATCATTTGTAATACACTGTTCAATTAATTACAACCTAATAATAATACACTAACAATAATTGTTGGTAACTGACTGGAGCGTCAGAGCATTGTGCATTTTACCTATTTATGTAATTTCCATTTAAATAGATTGTTTTAGTACCTGTAATTATAATTGTTCACTCGCTCGTTAATAATAATGAAATACGACAAGAGTAGATTTATTCGACAAAAGAAAATTCGTTCAAAACCAAAAAGAAAAATCTGCCGCAAGCATATAGAAAAATTCGTAAGGTCAGCTAGTTCCTTCCCTGGCTTGCTGATCGAAGGCTGATCGATATTTTTCCAAGTGTTCGATCTTTTTACTAATGCTTATGACAAACTAGTGGAGTCATTTCGCAAAAATAATTAAATATCATGGTGGTCAAATATCGTGACATTCAACAAACTTAAACAATAATAATGATAGATTTAATAAGTTTGTGTAGGTAAAAAAGTTAGAACACATGAAATGAAAATTTTATAAAAATTATTCAATATTGTAGACTGTCATATCACTCAGGTAATTAAATTATAATTTCTGTGTTTTTCACAATTATTGCAATTCCTAACTCACACGAAACGATTGTTGTAGATCTATTATATCTTTTGAAGTAGAAGAATTTTGTTACATGATTTAGTTTTCAGTTAACTAGAATGGCGCGCCCGTGTGATGAATTGAAATACTGAAGTGGCGATCATGTCAATGTAAAACATATCGCACTGCTATTACAATAAGGTTATAACTCCAAATAAGTGAAATTTAAGATTATACCATTGTTGAACGTAAAATTTGATTCTCTACACGTCAATAAAACCGTCGTTAGAATATAATAATATTGTAAAAAACAACTAAAAGATATCTACTTAACTACTTAACTCATACTCTCAGTACAGAGTACTAAAAAAAACCGACCTCAAAAGTACGTGGAATTACATATAATTACCAAGTTTTATGGAAATCGGTTACCGGAAAGTGCGCATACCCGGATTCATCCCCTAGTTCGCCATTTTACGGGACTTGACACAGGACATATATATAGATAGAATAAAAATCGGTTCTCACTACCCAAAGTATATCGAGAGAGAAAAAATGTATGATTGTGGCAAGATAGTCGGACGACAGGGAGTTGTTTTTGTTGTGAAGTTAATGTCCAGCAGTGGATATGTGTATGACGAAGTGTTAGACGATGAAATTGCTTGAAGAGTGAATTGCGTAGTTCAAAAATGTGCCCTTTTCAAACGGAGAACCTAATCAATAAGGCGGATAACCCAAGCGCGGAATTCTCGCATGTTTCTAAGCCGCCTGTCATGACGCCGAAAAGCACTAACTTGATACCGAAAATGTTTTATTTCAAAATATCCACACTTGGGAAAAAAGGGCTATGGCAAAAAAACCGTTTCTAATTAAAAAACAAAGATCAGCAACGAACACACGAAAGGATCCTCGCACGACGGCAATTATTGTTTCACCACGATGGATGGCATTACACTGTATGCCACCATTACGATGAGAAGAAGAAGCACCTAGACAAATTCGCGAGGTCGGCTGATTAGTTCCGTAACTCAGTTGGGAGAGCGGTTTGCCCGGTCTAGCTAAACAGGTGCTGGCTCAAATCCAGCCGGACGGAAGGATTTCTTTTTATTTGTTCGAGCTTTGTAGCAACAATAACACCAACTAGTGAAGTAGTTTTACAAAAAACATGTGTTATGGTAATATAAACATGATATTCAATAAAATTCATCTGTTGCACTTGATGTGCCACCGATTGTTCGTTGTTCGCGGCTTGCGTGCGCAACCATTTGGGTATCGGCAGAATATCAGCTCTGCAAACTTATGAAGTTGGTAGCATTGTGCAGAGCCGAAACGTTTTCAGTATATTACTTGTTGTAAGTAGCAGTAGACCTCCTTGTGAAATGTTCTTCCAGGGAAGTACTGCCACTTTACCTATTTCTGCCGCCAAGCAGTATTGTCAGCATTACTGTGTTCCGGTTTTGAAGGGTAAGTGTGCTGGCGAAATTACAGGCACATGGGACTTGTCAACTTATGTCTCAGGGTGATAGGCGAGAAGGCAGTGCCCCTCAGATTTTTGCGATTTAAAGCTCTGAGTGGCACTGCAACTGTTATGGACAGGACGTGTAGCTTACCATCAGGCACATGACTTGTTCGTCCCGTTATTTGATATTATGAAAAAAAGAGTAGCTATAGGTACCCTTATTTACGTAGCTGACTATGTATATAGCTACGTAATGGTATATACATAATCTCATATATTCTACACATTTCTAAGTTCTCTGTTATCAATTTCTAAAATTTTATTTGACTGCGCCTCTCTTGTATGAAAATCAAATAAACCAATTTTAAATGGTATACCGTTCATTCAATATAATTTTTATTTGGTTTCAATAATTTCCTATAACTTACGTTTGATATAATATTCATATTTTATACGAACATTTTATATAAACCTCTAAATACAAAATAACTAAATTTCACATATTGCCAACTTTGAATTTCACGTGTCATGATATCACTTTTTATAAATAATAAGGTTAAATCCGACTCACCGTGGTACTCGTCTCTTCAATACTAGCGTGTAATTTAAATGCCGAAGGTGCGGAGGAAGTCTGGTTTCCATAATATGTTTATAATTGCCACAATTATTATTGTTACGCACTGGATCCCAAGAAAATATATATGTATTTTATATATTATTTATTTAGCCATTATTTCGGGCTGCATGACTCATCATACATTCAATGTAATATAACAAACTAAGTAACTAATCTAATCTATAGACTTTAGTAAGTCATTAGAAAAATGGATATCGTATAATATACGTGTTCTATTTAGTTCAGTTGATATAAAAAAAATAGGGTATGAAAAGCGCCTATAGAATACAGCGGTTTTTTTTGTAAAATTTCGAGGTAAGTTTTAGTATAGTAATTAGTGATATCCTCAACTTTACTACATATTTTTTCCAATGTGATTGATTCAGTACTTTCACTGTTGCATAGACTTCAAGTAATGTGTGAAAATCGTAAAAGTTTAAATCAAAATAACGGACAATAATACAAAAAAAGATAAAACAAATAGTCTGTAAAAAAACCTAATCATGTGCTATAATCGAGAAGATATGAGCATTATTCGTAGGCACTATTAAAAAAGGCTGTTATAAAAATATTAAGTACTTTAATATAAAACACAAAATAAATGTATCTCGCTGTTTAAAGCAAAGCAAAAAACCAGCAAAAAACTTGGCTAAGCCCAGCAGCTTACGAAAATCAAAAGCTCAAAGCCAAAAGCACTTCTAATATGAATAAATAATGTGCTACACTGCGATACTAATTACCTGCTCTCTAACAAGGGAATTCCCTATATTAGAATACCGGGGCAATGATATTTACTTCAGGGCACTACCTAGAATACCTTGAATACATCAGTGCCATCCCCCATAATCGTCGCTTGAGCTCAATTTGCATCCTTTGAAGTTTAAACTGTAGGTTTGTGGGGTCTCCATGATCTTTCTTTGTATAAAATGATACTAGGTACAATAAAAAAAAACCAGCTCAAAAGTACGTGGAATTACATCATTTGCCAAGATTTATTCGTCTCCTAGTTTGCCACTCTTAGAGGTGGAATATTTTCTTCAAATTTAAATGGGATCAAATTGAGGTAGCCGATTTCCAACAAATAAATCAACAAAATCGGTTCACAAATGCCACCGGAGTTATTGCATACCATACATACAAAAAGAAACAGTGGAATTGAGAACCTTATGTTTTTGAAGTCGGTTAATTGAATAAAATTTCTCGGTCGAAAATTGAAACGTCGAAAAGTGGCAGTATATTTATTAAATGTCTAAGTAAGACTCACTATTGTATCATTATAAAAAAAAATTGTTAATATTTTTAAATAAATAAAAAGACATTTATTTCTCCACAAAACATAGAAATCACAAGAATTAAGGATTAATAGAAATTACAATTGAGTAATGTGGGCAAAAAGTTAAAGATCCAATAAAGTAACCTAATTAAATTTATTTTATTATTAGAAATGAAACTCATGTTGAAATAAAAAACAAGTAATAAAAAAAACACAAAATTGATGACATTCGTTATGATTATTAATTATTAATAATTAATACAAAGAAATTGTTTTAATAATCATAGTAAGACTAGTAAAGTTATTTCACAAAAAAACTCAACATTTGATAATATTTGCTTTTTCAGACAAACCAATATTTTATTTTTATTGTGACGTACAAGTACAAGACACGGTTTTTCACGGTCACGGTTGATGACTTCCCATCTCAGTCAACAATTGCGAAATCCTTAAGACTTATATTATTATTTTTATAGGAAGATGATGATGACGTTTAGTTCATTTCTCACCATTTCCCGTGTTTGTTTTGCAATAGCTCTTTGTTAGGTATTTTATGTGTTCTACAACTACTACTTTAACGATGTCATTATTGATAAATATATGTAATGATGAATGATTACAGTCATGTGCTATTAATAAATATGTAACGACATTACGTGTAAACCAATTTATCTCAGGGACTTCTAGCCTTTTTACAAGACTAATAAGCAATTTTAATTTAACATAATTTCCTGTAGAAGTAACTTGTGGAAAGAAATTGTCCATTGACAAAATGGTTTTTTAATATTAGTTAAGGGGAAGACACTTTGTTTGTATATTTTTTATATAATATCAAATGACGGGGCGAATGAGTTGTGTGCCTGAAGGTAAGCTACCCGCCTATCCATAACAGTTGCAGTGCCACTCAGAGCTTTAAATCGCAAATATCTGAGAGGCACGGCCACTTCGCCCGTCATCCTAATACATAAGTTGACATATCCCACGTGCCTGTAATTTCACCAGCACCCTTCAAAACCGGAACATAGTAATGCTGACATTATTGCTTGGCGGCAGAAATAGATAAGTTGGCAGTACTTCCCTGGACGAACTCTTTCACAAGGTGCTCTACTGCTACTAAGTTAACCGTAACTAACATTTAAAATGGTTTTTTAATATTTGTTAAGGGGCAGACACTTTGTTTATATGTTCATAGTTTAATTAACACTGGCACTAATGTTTATTTTATTCACTATAACTTAACTACACTGACTCAAAAGGTTTCTTTGTAGTCTACACACTATAGTTGTATTGTCTAGTATCTTATGTCACTGACAGAACTTCTAGTAGTATGTAGCAGTAGTAAGTTACTAAGTTTCTACCGTTGTATGGAATGTCCGGATTGTGGTATTAGTTCCAAGCATCCGCTTGTAAAACCTGTAAATAATCTATGACAAATAATATACGTTTTTAAGGTCCATTATTTGCAAGATGTAAAATATGAACGTGGATAGCTTTAAGGGCTTAGAAGGACCAAAGAATATATGGATTGGATGAAAGATGATATGTTTATGAAGGGCGTGATAAACGAGGTGCCGATAATAGAGACGAATTGAAGATGACATACTGCGCCGACCTTAAATAATGGTTTCAAAAGTGATGACTAGCAAAGATAGAAGTAAAACTGGTTGAAAAGAAATCTTATAATGTGATTAATATTAAGTGTTATAATTTACGTTTTCTTTTTTCAGAAATCCGGAGACGAACTATCAAAAGATGCCAATAAACTCCTAAATATAACATCGGAAGATATAGATGTTATATTAAAAACAAACTGTATCTCCAAAACTGATTTAAAATATATGGTTTGTAATATCAAAGATTGGTACCAGAAACAGCCACATTTACCACAAGGAGCTTTAAGTAATTATTAATATAGAGTTAAACGCAATTATGTTGAATTACGACTATTTTTTTAAAACAACATCACAAACGTTGCTCTGAAAGACACTGGTGTTATGGAAATCGGAAACAACGACGGTACAGGGTCAAGAGCACGTCAAGCTTGACACTTAATATTTAAATCCAACTCTATGCCGCTTACGATAAGAGCGGTCCAAAGTACAAACTGTCAAGCTTGTCGCGCTCTTCACTGTACTACAAACACCCAACCCGAGACAATATAAAAAGTTAGTTTTTCTACATTGACCCGGTTGGGGATTGAACCTGAGACCTAAGAGATGGTGTCACCATGAAAACCGGTGTACAAGCCACTCGACCTTGGAGGTCGTCACAATTTCATTTGGATCTAAATCGTGTATATTCGTTTTTTTCAAACATACCAACATGATCACGGCTGACTGTCATGAGACGTGCAAAGTGTCGGAAACGTTGATTTGTTTCAAAAGACAGATATACGCGAGATTGCACCCGAAAAAAAAATTTTCCAACGTGACCTAAGAAATCTGTACGAATTCATCATATAGTGTAATTGGTATAGTTCAAATTATAAGTCAGCTTTATGAACGGTTTATCAGCGAAACTGAAGCTTACCCAGTCCCAAAACAGTTTTGTTTGCTAGCGAAGTTTGAAACTAGCGCTCGCCCCTTATTTAGTAGACCTTTTTTATTTGCGAAAACCTTTAGTCTATAATAAATTTTAACTGCCTCCGTGGCCGAACGGTTACCATACCGAACTGCCACGCAGAGGTCCCCGTGTTCGATTCCAGGGCCGGGAGAAATATTTGTATGGCCTACATTTATTTCTCTCGTGAGTTTGGGTGTAATTTGTGGTTGTCTATGTGTGTGTCCATGGCACCCGCGACACAGGGTTTCCCTATGTTGAGTGTGTGCGTTATTATTATTATTGTTATTAAATATATGGTCTAGCCCTGGTTATCAAGAACAGTCTCATCACCGTTGCCTGCACGCAATATTCCTTAAAGTGTTGCAACTTTGCAGACAGGACGCCATTTCTTCCATGACACGGTTTCGTTATTAACAGGAAAATTCGTATCACTATCCAGCGTGCTATATGGATATAGGGGGTGGAGTAGGCCTTACTAAACAGATCTTGCAGATTCCAGTTAGTGTTTACTATATTTTACTGCCTCTGTGGCCGACCGGTTACCATGCCGGACTGCCACGCAGAGGTCCCAGGTTAGATTCCCGGGCCGGGAGAAATGTTTGTATGGCCTACATTTATTAATCTCGTGAGTTAGGGTGTAATTTGTGGTTGTCTATGTCTGTGTCTATGGCACCCACGACACAGGGTTTCTCTATGAGTGTGTAATAAAAAATGTTTTTGTAACCGTTTTGTAAATTTTTTTTTTTTAAATTATTTTAATCACAGTTTAGCTTTTACTTGTTTTAATAAATTTAGTCCAACGCATGTTTGAAATTCCCAAATATCTGAAATTTTCATACTTTGTAAGTCAGCCTTTACAACACACATAAGAATACACATAATAACAATATTACATGTATTATCTAGAATAATCATATATGTATGTGTAATTCTGTTGGTTTCCCAATAAATTAAATTTTGGCCGCTATTCCGAAAAGTCATCGATTTGTTGTGTCATATAACGTGATATTTCTAATTTTATTTATATATTTCCTTATACTTATTGTAATATAAATTGCAGCAACTTTAGCACCATACCCCTTAAATAAAGAATTCATATTTTCAGACGATGAAATAATTATCAGACGTCTCGTAACTCAGAGCTTTAGCGTCGAAAAAGTGAAAAAGAAGGTAGATAACTACTACACTATACGCCGTAAAGTGCCCGAAGTACTGTGCAACAGGGATCCTCTTAGCCCACCAGTCGATAAATGTTTAAAACAAGGATACTGGGTTGTACTGCCCAAGAAAACCCCAGACAATAAGAGAGTGAACATTTACAGGTAAACCCAGAGCTCTATTCGGTTTCACAAATTGTAACCGTAGTTACAAACAATGGTTAATACATTGCTGCAAATGTAGACATCTCTTTTGTGGTCTTTTGTTTTAAGCCTTTAGTGGAAACACAAATGTGAGTAAATTGTAAATGGAACGGGGGTATAGGATTGAGAACACTTTATTTATTCATCTCAATTTATTGAACGGCAAAGTTCTATTTCGATCCTCAAACACTTGGGGAATATAATGGAATGCCAGAAAGTAATCCAGTTTTGTTGTTAAGATTTCTGTTTTTAAAAATGCAGTTGATTAGATGAGGCAAGAAGAGTAGTACAATGTGCATTTTTTTATTACTATTTAAGATATAACATTCACTGAGTATAATGTGTTATAAATATAATCCCAGAATTACATTTAGGCGACAGACAAGTGCAGCGAGTAATGTTAGTCAAGGTAACCAAAAATTAATAAATTGAACTGCGACTATTAAGGTGCTTTTCCACGGGCGAGACGAGGATTGAAATTTGTATGGTAACATTTTGAAATAGTCTAGATTGTCGAGGGTAGATGAGGCGAGAATTGAAATATTTGTAGATGTAACATTGAACCGTATTGCTGCCTAGAGTATTATACTCTGCAACGGAAACACGATTTCTCGCGCGAGATCGCGCGATCTTCCGACGACTATTATATATAATATTAACCGCGAGGTTGCATGTGTACATACGATTACATCACTGTTACAGTAGCAGTAGAGCTACTTGTGAAATAGTTTATCCAGGGAAGTACCGCTACCTTACCTATTTCTGCGGCCAAGCAGTAATGTCAGCATTATTACGTTCCGGTTTTGAAGGGTAAGGGTGCTGGTGAAATCACAGGCACATGAGACTTTTCAACTTATGTCTCAGTGTGATGGGCGCAGAGATAGTGCACCTCAGATCTTTGCGATTTAAAGCTCTGAGTGGCACTAGAACTTATGGATAGGCGTGTCGTTTACCATCAGGCGCACAACTTGATCTTCCCATCACTTAGTTTCATAAAAAAATAAATCGAGATTTAAAAAAAAGATGGCTTCATCTGATTGTTCTCCCGTTACTCAGCTGCGTGTTGCTCGCCTCGCCCCGGTGGATAACCACCTTAATGGTGCGCGAGTAGAGTGAGCGTGTCCCGATAGCAGCAGGCACAATATCAATACTTATTTTTAAGATTGTCCCTATGACTTACCTTACCATTAATTTATTATATCAGCTAATCAATATCCAATGTTTCTCAAACTATATAGTTTATTATACATAACGAAATACATAATTAAGTATATCCCATGTGTGTCAGTAATAACTGATTATATCCTGTAAAACTTCTTCTTTTTCTTCTTCCTGTCCTTATCCCATGCTAGGCGGGGTCGGCACAAGATGTATTTTTCTTTTATTGTATCCTGTAAAACTATATTAAATAATTATACCGAGTGAAAATAGATTATTCGCTGTTATAGTTATACTATAACAAAATATAAAAAAACTATAAAAAAACACCCAAAATTGGACTATGTGTATCACAGTCGTGTTTGAAATTACAATGATTAAGTTATTTGATAAAAAATATAAATAAAACGAAAAAACATCATACTTCTATAAACTGTGTTATCAGGGCTCGTAAATATTCACTTAAGGTAAATACCACAAATGGTTGCCTTTATCAAACGACATTTTCAATAAAGAAAAAGCATTCGTAACTTCACAGCCGTGACGATACAGATGTGATAGCCGTAGGACATTAAACCAGATGAGTTTCTACCCAAAGAAGTTTATCACCAGTAACTTGTTGTTTATGATACTAATTCAAACTCTTTCAGATCTACACCTTCCTCGGATATCATTGTCATGGATATTATCAAAGTTGCCTTCATGATAGGCGACTTTAGGCTTCACTGCGACGACATGGGAGGTGATCATTGGATCTTCGACTTTAAGCATAACACCTTACAACAAGCCTCGCAATTCAACCCTTTGTTGATTATGAAGATTATGTTTTATTTAAATGTGAGTTATGTCTTTATTAAGGCCTCTTTTTTTATGTGAAGGCGGGAAATTTACTTTTAGATTTGAAATGATGATGCTAGTATTTCATATACGTGTGTGTTAATTATTTTATTTAGAAATAATTGTTGAAGCTTTCGAAATTTGTAAAACACTATGTATTTTACGTTATTATGTTTTTATATAAAAATCTCTTTTAAAACACATCTTTAAGTTTACTTCACCTACGCATAAACACTCATGTAGACAACTAGATTTTTGTTATATGTATGTATTAGTAAAATTTTCATTTCCTGCTTTATATCAGAAGATACATAATATTATTTTAGTACAGTCTTTTCTCGTTGAATTTGACGAGTAAAATATTAAACAGAACCTTTACTTCCAGTACTGCTTTGGTCCAAAAGTTGTAGGCATGCATCTAGTCAACTTACCGCCATTTGCAGCAACTATCTTGGCAATATTCAAGAAACATATGACAGCTAAAATGGTACAGCGGTTACATACTTATGAAAAATTTGACGAACTGTACGATGTGATTCCTAAAAATATATTTCCAAAGGAATATGGCGGCGATGAAAAATCTTGTCAGGAAATATCAGGTAAAGAAAACTAAAAACTACTTTTGTATAAAATAGGTGTACCTATATCCATTTGATTGGTTGTAAGTTCGGGAGAGAGTTTACGTCGTTGGTTAAAAAAGATCAAATGCATAAAGCTGAAGATAGGACACAATTTCGCGCCTTGTGGGACGCATATTCAAACGTACATCAATTCCAACAACTCTAAAGAAATCCAAATTTTTACGCGGCGGTATTTACAACGACAAACCTTTGTACTAAATTAAAACTTCTACCTTGTCTATTGGTATCACAATATTTTAAAACTTTATGTACTAAAGGGTTTAAAATAATTAGCCTTCTGTATCTGAGTTCATTAAACTTTGTCTTGGACTAGAAGTGTATGTTTGATAATAGCGGTTTATCTCAAATAAATGAAAAATGAAATGAAAATAGTTTTTGTTTCTTTTTCTCAAAACTTAAATTAGAGTTTATAATTGGATCTTCCTAGTAGGGATCATCTACTTGTGTCAGGAAGGCCCGCTGTTCCAATATTCTTTAGTATACAGAAATGAACCTTAATTAGTTGCTATAATGTACTTAAGTTATTACAAATTGAAGAATTTGTATAGAGTGAGATAGTTTTTCATGAGGTAATAATAATAACAGCACACATTATATCTAACATCACCTATTAGGGTATGCCCAAGATAATAAGAATAATAATAAATAATAATTATCTTATTACCACTATATACTCGTAGATACACGCCATACTGCATTTACTTGACTAAGGTCCGTAAATGTGGTTCAAACCAGTTAACAAGCTGAGAAGACTAAAGATAATTATAATGATATGAGTACATTAAGGGTGGAATACATTATCCGATTTGTCATAGTTAATTGACACCAAGCAATTTGACAAAGCCTTTTAACAACTATGCCACTGTAGGTGGTAAATATTTCTATGTAGATTCCTAATTTTGTAACTTATTTATTAGAATTAGCAGGCAGACTTCTATTAAATATCTATTAATCATTTCTAACTCAAGTGGACGAATTTTTAAATAAAAACGATCTGTTATTAGCTGCATTTGGTATTCTTATATTAATACATTCGTCACGAGTTAGATGTTTCCAACAATAATTATTTTGAAGTGGGAAACATAGCAACTTACGAAAAGTCAAAGTTAAAGAATCATTCATTCCATAGGTAAAATAAATTTACACTTGAAAACGTCACTTTCAAACTACTGCGCGTTCACTACGCTGACCTCCCTGACAATAACTAGCAAGAAACTCTAGGGATTGTTCTTTTCAAATAAACTTCAATGCTATGGAATAGACTTTGAACCAAATTTGTGTGAAATCTAGAGCCATGTCATCTTTCCATAAATCTTTATCTAACACGTAGTCTTCAATTTTTTAATATGACTTTTCAATTAAAATATTTTTAATGTAGTTTTTAAATTTAGGAAATGATAATATGCTCCGGAACCTTTATTGTAAAAACATATACAGTTTTCCATAAAAGAGTCATTTACCTTGGTTAAAGTAATCGTGGTACTTACCAAGAGTTTGAACTTAGCTCTAAGGTTAATATTATAGATATCTTCTTTTTTATTGAAATTATGTTTAGGTATTGTGAAAGTATTTAAACACATACTTACTTCTACTTTGTTACTTCAGCTTATGAGTTAATGAAATTTCTAAATTACGTCCTTAACAATTTAATGTTTCTTGCAGAAGTCACAGTATATTCATTATTTCAATATTCATAATTATAATTTTAAAACTTGATTTTTATATATTATCGATTAATTTTAATTGAATCTCTCCATTTTCAGATGAATGGATGAAGACTTTCCAATCATCACCATGGAGGGAGTATTTCATTGCACAAGACAATGTGTGTACTGATGAATCCAAACGACTGGGCCCTACCAAAACTGACGAATTGTTTGGTGTAGCTGGTTCGTTTAGGAAACTGGATATTGATTAAGAAGAAAAGATATAGATACTTCATAGTTCATGTAATGTCGTACTTAAATTGAATAGAGATAGAACAAAGAACATTAACAATAATTTAGATTTTGATTTAACAAGTAATTAGAGTAAATTAAATAACACTGTACATGATACTATTTAATGACGTTTTCAGTCGTATATTATATACTCATGTCCTATTTATTATTTCCTTAATAAAAGAGGAATAATTATCCCCCAGAATAATCTTTGAATTACCTATCAATGTCTTTCTTGTCTAACGACGTATATCGAAAACTGAGGCTAGTGATGCAACTGAAGTGTCATAACGGAAACAGATGACAAAAGTAAAAAAAATGCGAAATCAACGACATAGTTTCAAACAGAACTTATTTTTGGTATATAATTGCTCTTTGACCCAACACAAAACTGCTAAAAAACCGCCAAGCAATCCACGCACTCGCCACATACGTTACGATCGTTGTAAACTTCCGATTAAAGTTTCGCTATAAAAGTTGCAGAAGTCAAAACGGAAACAGATGTGACCTTTTTCATGCGTAACTTCCGCAGTTGCGCAACCAGAAGCAGAGGTCTGTTGCATCACTAACAAATGCATATGTGGCTAGATGATTATTTCAAGTAATGTGAAAAAATATTCCCTTTAATTAGTAGATATATGAAGTTCTATTTTGTATACCTATCAAAGTTTGTGCTACATAGTCCGAGGACGTTCTGCAGCTGTCTGCTTTTCAAAAAAATTAACTGCCTGTATAGCCGAACGGTTACCATGCTGTACTGTCACGCAAGAGGTCCCGGGTTCGATTCCCGTGCCGGGAGAAATATTTGTATGGCCTACATTTATTTCTCTCGTGAGTTTGGGTGTGGTTTGTGGTTGTCTATGTGTGTGTCCATGGCACCTGCGATACAGGGTTTCCCTAGTGCGGGGCCATGTCGAGTGTGTGCGTTATTATTATTATTAAAGAAATATACCTTATTCTGGAGAAGCTAAGTTACACTATGCGTTGACCGTGGCAGCACAAGTTGTTGAAAATTTTGTGGTCGGTTTTTCTAGTACTATGTACTGAGATTATTTGTTTTAAAAAAATGTAACCTTACCTTGTTCCCGCATTGCTTTTCGTTTGCATTTCACCGAATCGTCGCGACGTGTTACCTGGCTGTGGCAATTTGAGGCGACCCTTATTCACAATAAAAGTAATCATATTCTGATAACAACTGTGCAATAAGTTAAAAAATTTACTAATTTGGATTGGCCATTGAGTTGACCAAAAATCCAGTTCACTACACGTTTTCAAGCGATTGCACTACAATTTACGAGTATTCTTTGCTATTCCAACAACAAAATACGAAACTGTATACCAACTGAAATATAAAAGCCTTCTTATTGCGTATTCTGAAATTTTCACAAATAAAAGGAGCTTCAAGGGGTCGCCGCCAAGCTCTCTGTCATCCAAGAGGCCTCTTTGTCAATGTCTCGGGGAAAAATAAACAAATTCGTTTTCACCAAGCTTATCATTCTTACTATAAGATTCAATGCGTTTTGTCACCCTTCAGCGTTAAATTTATGAACGAAATCGGTTGAGGTAATGTTCTTAAAGATTTTAACGCTTTTGTTTGGCAATCATCAGTAAACAATCTCGCTTCAGAAAGGTTTTAAAAACCTTTAAGAGTTAATCCTGTCAGTAATATTTTATTTAAATGTATGTGTTTCTCTAATTTTAAAATTATAATTTTTAGGCGTTATTAATATGTGGTGATAAAATCATCAAAGAAGCTATTGGTTTCTAAAAACATTATTTTTTTAAATATAGCCAGTCTCAAAGAACTGTTCAATCTCAAAGTAATAATAATAAATTACAATATTGGAGTTAAATTATATTTGATGCTTTAAAAAAACAGCATATTATAATGTACTCAAAAACATTCATAAGTATATAAGTAAAGAAGTAAGATAGGTAATTCATTCACAGTTTACATCTACTTCTTAGGTCCTCGCGATTCTTTACACAGAGAGTATTGAAAAACAAATCGACGCCTTTCTAGAATAGTAGCCTATCTCAAGAGTATTTAGTTCACAAGGAAGATGATTTTAAAAACCAGAGACATGTCTGCAATGTCAAAATGAGCATATCGTAGACCAATTCAACGTTGTCATGTTGTTATTTTAACCAATGAAAAGCTCGGTGACCAATTTACAGTACAATTCACCATTTTCTGGACAAATCTCAGTATTAAGTCATAAAGGTACTATTGTGGAGTGGGCCACTATTCTTGTCTAAATATCTAATTAATAAATTAGGTAGCAGTAGAGCTCCTTGTGAAAGAGTTCATCCAGGGAAGTACTGCCACCTTACCTATTTCTGCCGCCAACCAGTAATGTGAACATTACTGCGTTTCGGTTTTCAAGGGTACGGTGCTGGTGAAATTACACGCACATGGGACTTGTCAACTCATATCTCGGGGTGACGGGCGCAGTAGCAGTGCCCCTCAGATCTTATTTACGGTACTGCAAAAGATATGGACAGGCGTGACGCTTACCATCAGGCGCAGGACCCGTCACTTAGCTATTATAAAAAAAAGATAATTTCCGCCATTTTAGATGCGAAAAAATAGTTTCATTCTCACCTCCAAAAATTATGTGTGTGTTTATGAGTTGTTAAGTCAATAATCACTGAAGTCTATTTTTTAACGGACTTGAAAAGCTTCTCTATTCGATTGTATTTCTTTTCTGTGTATAATAATAACGCACACACTCATCACAGCCCCGCACTAGGGAAACCCTGGGTCGCGGGTGCCATGGACACATACATAGACAAACACAAATTACACCCAAACTCACGAGAGAAATAAATGTAGGCCACACAAATATTTCTCCTGGCCCGGGAATCGAACCTAGGACGTCTGCGTGGCATTCCAGCATGGTAACCGTTCGGCCACGGAAGCAGTATGTTACGCCATTACTCCGGCATTTGTGAACCGATTTTGATGATTCTATTTTGTTGGAAAGAGGGTACCTCAGTACTGTTCCCATTTAAATTTTGCAAAAAACTTTCCACCTATAATGGTAGCAAATTAGGGTATAAAATCAGGTTTATTGGATTCCAACCACTTTCCGTTCACCGTTTTCAATAAAACTTGGCAAATAAATGTAATTCCACAAACTTTTAAAATTGGTTTATTTTTTTGTGAAGAAAGGCATAATTATTTAACTTTTCTTGTAATCTAATTGTAACTTTTTAACGGGTCCAGTCGAGGTCAAGTTAAATTTAAAGTCTTTGACTTTCATCAGACGTTCTTCTGAATTCTAACAAGAACTGCTTATTTTGTCAATTCATTGAAATTTACCGTAGGTTTATGAAATATAATATTAAACTTTATCAATAACAATAAATCAATGTTTTTTGCATCTAAAACTTGCCAGTTAGCCGTAAACCTGTAAAGGGCCCGAAACACGGGTTTGTTTGAAAAAACAAATATACCACATGTACCTATACCTGCCTGCGGACGTATTCCCCGAACGCAAGGAACTTTCAAGGCGAGAGTGAATAGGCATTATTTAGGTGTGCATGCTATATCGTCGACTTCATCGTCACTTTCCCTCAGGTGAGATGGAGGTCAAATGCGCACTTATTTTTGTTTAAAATAATTAAAGGATACTTTATATAAATTATGCTGACAGATCTAATGGACATAGATTGGTGTATGATGTGATGTGCACAGTCATTTTTGACGTTTGAATATCAAAAATGTCTGTTCATGACATAAACATTTTAATGACTTACGAATGCTAGCTACACTGCTTAATAAATAATTTTTTTTAATAGTTATATATATCTATAAATTATTATCAATACTGCCGTCGTTAGTTGAAAAGGTGCATGTGACAATAACTCTAAACCGAACCAACTTAAAACCGAGAAAATAATGTTAAAGATGTGAAATTGAAACAATATTACTAACATATACTAACACTAATGGACCATATTATGTTGTTGTCTGAATAAATAATTATATTATTATATTATTATTAATATTTACTTTCCTCTTGCGGTACCATCATACCTTATCTACTGAAAAAATATTAAATATTAAAATAGTCACAGGTCGGCATTTTTTTTAATGGTCACGGCAGTACCTATACATAACAACATTTTTGACATTTTTTTGTCACATGCGCCCTTTCAACTAACAGCGGCAGAATACGCTGCAATAGCAAATAAAGTGGCATCTTTTGAAGGCCGAGGCTATGATCCTCTTTAGGCGCTTTAGTAAATAGAGCAAGTTTTTATTTTTTGTTTATGATGTCAATAGATGGGACAAACAAATCGTGTGCGTGATGTTAAGCGACACGCCTACTCATAACAGTTGGTGTGCCACTTTGAGCTTCTCTTTTTATTATTTTGCGACTCTCCGCCGAATGTCGAAAGCACATTATAAAGGGCTTCCAGGAAGTCATGGAAATATGTCAATTATTTTGGACTACACAAATGGTCTAAAGAATTTGATCTGTAGTTTTTGCACTTTGGACAAAACCTGGTGCCTAAAAAGGAAACGCCGCCAATGAAATTTTCATGTAAAAACTCCGTAGACTAGGACTTTATTTTAATATTTTTTGGTTTTTTTATCTTTAACAGTTTTGTATAAATATAGAATATAATTACAGGAATTGTAATATAATTCGTCATAACTATATAAAATTCAATGTAAAAATATGACCTTCTTAAAATAATAATAGGTAACAAAAATGGAAGTAAGCTCCTATGCACCTCTTGAAGATGCCTTTTTTATGATAGCAAGTGGGATGGGATGGGACAAACAAGTCATGCATCCGGTGATAAGCGACCCGCCTGTTCACAACAGTTGCAGTGTTACTCAGAGCTATAAATCACAAAGATTTGAGAGACACTGCCACTGCGTCCGTCACCCGAGACATAAGTTGACAGGTGTCATGTCTCCGTAAATTCACCAGCACCCTTGACCTTCAAAACTGGAACACAATAATGCTCACATTACTGCTTGGCGGCAGAAATAGATAAAGTGGCAGTACTTCCCTGGACGAACTCTTTCACGAGTTCATTTTACATTTAACACTCAGAGCTTTAAATCCAAAAGATCTGAGTGGCACTGCCACTGCGCTGGTCATCCTGAGATATAAGTTGACAAGTCAAGCACCCTTATCCTTCAAAATCGG